ATAAAGTATTGGTACACAATAAAACATATTGAACTTTGAAAATACTACGCTAAGTGGAAGGAGTCAGTCATAAAAGATCCTACACTGAGCTGTTTCATCAACATGGAATGTCCAGATAGGCAAGTCCTTAGACATTAAAAGCAGATCAGTGGTTGTCTAGGGCCGAGGGCAGGAACTGGTAATAGGTAGGGGGTTTCTTTCTGCAATGATGAAAATGTTCCAAAATCGATTGTGATTACAGTTGCGCAATTCTGTGACTATACAAAAAACTACTGAATTGTGCACTTTCAACAGGTGAATTTACGGTCTGCGAATTTTAACTCAGTAAAGCTAGCAAAAACAGAGCAAGCACATACACGAGGCAAAATGGCAACTGAAGCAGCGCACTAGAGATTCCCATTAATACCAGACTCTGAAATCCAACTGCTTCTGCTCCAGCTACAAGGCGGGCAAGGGTCTAGAAGATCCGAACCAGTGACCATACTACGGAGCCGTGGGGCCTGCGGGGAAAGCATGAAAGACGTGCATTGTTCAAAGCGATCCACAGGCCTCCGGAGACAGAGGCATTAGTTTTGTTTTTAAAAACCGTCTTTCTGTGTGCATAAAATATGTATGTTCATGAAAAAACAAGAGAACAACTAGGAAAACAATATGGAAAAATGGAAAAAATAAACACTATTCTGAAAAATTTTAAAATAAAACTGGTCCTTCAAAGAGCCTGGGGCAAATGAAAACAACCACTGAAATTCACCAGAGGACTGACAATGACTGTATCCAAGTGACAATGACCGTATCCAAGCGGTGGGATTTCCTCCCCCTCCTCCTTCATAATTTACCGTATAATCAGGAGAATGAAAGTGAAAATGATTAAACTCCCAAAAGCTCCTTTTAAATGAGCTATATGGGAAAGTCAAGTGCAGATCCAAAGAATCAAATTAACAGGTCAGAAAACAAGCCATTCCTGACCCTGCCCACAGCTGTTCTTGGTCCGCCCTCCTGTGATTCACTGTGTAAAGCCTCTGGACCATAAAACAGGACTGAGAAGAAGGAAGACTTAAATGCAAATTAACAAACTATACTCTGCTGAGACAAAGAAGCATCCAACTATTCCCTACAAAGGATGTGGAAATGCTTCCTCTGTGGTGACTTTTGGAAGCTCTGGTGGCATAGTGCCTAAGGCATCTGACTGCTAATCAGAAGGCTGGCGGTTCAAACCCACCAGCCACTCCTCGGAAGGAAGACTGGGCAATCTACTTCCATAGAGACACTGCCTCAGAACCCCAAGGAGGGGTCGCTGTGAGTCAGATGCGACCGGACAGCAGTGGGCCTGGTTTTTGGTTTTGTATGGCAGGAGCTCTAGTAGCATAATGCCTAAGGCACTTGACTGCTAACCAGAAGGCTGGCGGTTCAAACCCACCAGCCACTCCTCAGAAGGAAGGTTGGGCAATCTACTTCCGCGGTGATACCGCCTTGGAAACACAAAGAGGACTATGAGTCAGATCCGACTCGACGACACATAACAACAAAATGGTGACTTTTATCCTTAATTATTAAGGGTGAACATACTGCACTCTTCACATGGAACATAATCTCTAGTGCCCCTGCTAAGCACTGTAGCTTATACAGTCCAACAGTACCATAAATATACTCAACCAGGTTGTGTGGAAAAAGCTCTGGTGGCACAGTGGCTAAAGCACTCAGCTGCTAACCAAAAGGTCAGCGGTTGGAACCCACAGCCACTCCACAGAAGAAAGATGTGGCAGTCTGTTTCTGTAAAAGATTGACAGCCTTGGAAACCCTATTGGGCAGTTCCACTCTGTCCTCTAGGGGCACTGTGAATCAGAATCCACTTCACAGCACTGGTTTGTTGGGTTTTTTTTTTTTTTTTTTTTAAATGATGAGGGGCTCATTTTCATATTTCTTTGAAGATAATCGCTGTCACTCAAGAGTATTGAGAGAGAAAAGGAAAGTCTGAAGAATTAAAAAAAAAATCCTCAAACCTTTCATAACATTTACTCTTTTGTGTTTGAAAATTACATGTAAACCTTATTTCCAAAATTTGCTATTTTCCATTTAAACAATACTCAGTGGTTAGTTTCAGAAATCTTAGAGATTAGTGTCAGAAAACCTCCCTGAGAAGTTTCAGAGGGTCCAACCTTCTCTGGAAAGGGGTGACTTCATCTCCCCAGAGTTGGTAGTGCCGATCATCAAGCTAAGACCAAGATGCAGTCCCCAACTGCCAGGGCTCCAGGCTGCATGCTCAAACCAGAGTACCAGCAAGGGGGGCTCACTCTCAGGGGAGCAGTCCAAGGCAGCAGGCCATGCTGACCTTTCAACTTGTCAGCAAAGCCACCCAAAAGGCAGTGGTCACAAGTTCACTGGCTTAGTATACTAATACAATTTCTATGGGTCTGACTCAAACCAAACTCACTGCCGTGGAGTTGATCCCGACTCACAGCGACCCCTCCTTGGGTTTCCGAGGCAGTATTTCTATGGAAGTAGATCGCCCAAACTTCTTGACTAAAATAAGATGCAAACAAAAAATGCACACATCTGCTTTTAACAGGTCTAACTGCCCCCTAAGATAGCTACCTCTGCTCAAGCAACAGCAAATAGAGTTTGAGCAGCAACACCCATGAAAGCAGAATAAGAAGGGCTCAGGTCGCTCCTTCAGTTCCTATAAAAAATAGTTAAAATCAAGGCCCTCCTAAATTTGTTTTAATGATGATTTTAGTTTCTTAAAATTAGATTGTAGAATTTCAAGTGAAATCTGAAGCATGAAAATACTTACATTTTTATTTATTTTTTAAACAATTTAACCCTGCCCCCAAACCTCCTCCCCAGGAACTCAGCATGGAAAAACATGGTGCTGTATAGCCTACTATTCAGGCAACAGAGAGGCAGCAAAGCAGAGTGATACAGAACCAGTCCACTGGGGGCCAGGTCTGGACCCTACCACATGCCACCACGTGGCTTCATCCTGGCCATGCCCCTTTCCTTATCTGTATGGCGGATCAGAACAGCGCACAGCCTATGGGGGTGGGGGGCGTCTCCAGGACACTATATGATAACCCACAAGGCCTGCTTGACACACCATGAGCAAAGCAGGCTGTGAGGCAGCAGAGTGCTGACATCAGACCTGGTCTGAGCACTCTTGTCAGTTTCCACCAGGAAGCAGCAGGCTGGGTGGAAAAACACAAGCCTTAGCAACTCAATTATTCTGGCCTTAAATTGCTCTACTTGTAGGTTCAGTTTTCCTCCTTTGAAAATGAAAATATTACAGGAGATCAGTGGTTTATTTCTTTTAAAACCCCCCTTTTTTTAATGATAAAAGCAATAAAGTTTAGAAAAATTTCAAGAAGTACAGACAAAAAAGGATATAGTCAAAGTTAACTCTGGCCTTCTTGATTCTCCTCCTCCCCCAAATCAGCACAGTCTGTGTAGAGTCAAGGGGATTCCCTAGAAGAGGGGGCTTCCCAGGACAGGTCAAGTGGGCAGAGCCCCAGAACACTCCCATCACCACCTGACCAAAGCAGCTCCTATGTACCAGATTTCACAGAAGATTTCAAAACAAGGGTTCTACCAAAAGTAAGAAGTCTGAAAACCACAGGAATAAATTATTTTAAAGTCATTATCCAGCTCTAGGGAGCCCCTGGGTGGTGAGGTGTTGGATGTGCTCAGCTCCGAACTGCAGGCTGGAGGCTCAGTCCACCCAGAAGCACCTGGAAGAAAGGCCTGCACGCGCCTTCTGAGAAGTCAGCCACTGCAAACCCCTCGGGCTCCGTTCTACTCCCACACTTGGGGGTCAACTGTGAGCTGGAGTCAACAACGGTGACTGCTCCCCCAGGCTCCACAGCTGCAGGACTCTGGTCTACTGAACTGTTACCAACGGCATGTGGTGAGGCCATCTGAGCTCCTCCAATCACAACAGGGCGACAGAGTCACCACCAGCCCCCGGGCCCGTGAAGCAGAGGTCAGATACACCTTCTCTCTCCACCCGCCAACCTTTTTACCAATTCTGCCACCAGCTGTCCCTCCCACGGCACTCTCGGCTTCTCGACTGGGTTTAATAACTCATGGCAACGGCCACACAGAACTCACAGACACTTCACGACTACTGGGTTTATTAGGGCAGTACCAGGTTACAGTTCAGGCTCACGAATGCCTCGGGATAAAGTTCTGCGGTCAGTACAGCTTCTCAGCCATGCCCACAAAAGGCTTCTCCTCCAGCCCCTCCAGCCAGTCCAGCCTGTGCGCTGCTTGGACAAGTGTTACGAGGCTCATTAGCTCCCTGATAGGGGCCCAGAGGCACTCCAACCACCCAAACCAATCTTGCTGCCGTGGAGTTGGATCTGACTCATCGCGACCCCTCCCCTGAAGGTGCCCAGCTCTCTCATTCTGTGGGTCCTTGAGCCTAGCTCTGCCAGGAGCCCAGAGGCACCCCACTCCACCAGCAAGCCTCCTGCCCGAAGGCGCTAGCTGCTCACTCCTGCCAGTCGGCCGCTCCTGCTGCCTCTGCTGAAGTCACTTCTCTGCCGCTGCGTCTCTGTCTCTGATGGGACAGCCTTCCCTGTCTCCTGGGTCTAGAAGGTTCTTAGCCAAGGATCCTGGGCCCAAAGGACACACTCCACCCCAAACTCTTCTTTCTTGTGGTAGTGAGGTCCCCCTTCCTGCTCTGGGAGGACTCATTTTAAGTCTAGCAGGATGGCAAAACCAACCAAGCCCCAGTTAGGATTCCATACACCTCATTTCCATCGTCCCACCTCCACAAAGGTGCCATACACCTTATTTGCATTATGAGCAAGTCATTCTGTCCCCTAGGTGGGCCATAGCACTTCATTTGCACAGCCCCAGCCTATCACCTGGTGGGAATAGGACGACCATGGCGACCACGGCTCGAAAAGCCGGATGAAGCCCGCTGCATCACGTGAACCAAATCCGCGTCTTTGCTATCACATTTACACCCAATTTCAGTAACATTTCCTAAGATTTCACTTTACCTCCAGCTCAAGCTCCTGAGGCTCCATTTCAGAAAGCGACAGCACCGCAATCTTGGTAACTTTACAGACCTCATGGTCCCCTGGAAGTCTGCCCACCACCGCCTTCTGCCGAATTAGAATAAGCCACCACGGGAGATCTGGAAGAGAAAGGGCGTGTCAACAGCTGCTCTGCACAACGGGCTACTGTCCCGGCAAGATGAAGAGGAATTCAGCAACAGAATGTACGCACACAGTGAAGAGATGCAGCCTGCGAAAGTAAGAGCTCACTGTTGTCAAGTTTCCGGGGCGGTACCACTACAGGAATAGACTGCTCCATCTTCCTTCCGAGGAGTGGCTCGGAGGTTTGAACCACCAGCCCTCTGGTTAGCAGTCATATGCCTTAGGCACTATGCCACCAGAGCTCCTAAAGTAAAATACAAAGGAAGATAAAAAATGGCCTTTCCAAAACACCAAACTCATGCCGTTGAGGTGGATCCGACTCACAGAGCCTCCTCCTTGGGTTTCCGAGGTGGTATCACTACGGAAGTAGATTGCCCAACCTTTCTTCTGAGGAGTGGCTGGTGGGTTTGAACCGCCAGCCTTCTGGTTAGCAGTCAAATGCCTTAGGCACTATGCCACCAGAGTTTCCAAAATGGCCTTTAAACATGTTTAAAAAAAAAAAGTTTAACTGTGTTTGTTACGTGCCATCAAATTGATTCCAACAGCCAGCCACAGGCCAGAGTACCAGAACTGTCCCACAGAGCTTCTAGGCTGTAAGCTTTATGAGAACACATCGCTAGGTCTTTTTTTCCCATAAAGGGCTGGTCATCGGCTCAAACTGCCAACCTTTCTGTTGACAGCTGAGCATTCAACCAGTTCACCACCAGGGCTCCTTTTTACTCATAATTAGGGAAACGTAAATTAAAATGACACTGTGATACCATTTCTCACCTACCAGGTTGGGGACAATGAATAAAGAGTGCAACACATCCCGCTGGAGAGGCGATGGGAACAGGCCCACTCATCCGGTGGTGGTGGGAATGCAAACCAGCACGACTCACCTGGAGGGAAGTGTGCAGCACCTGACAAGGCAGGGCCAGCAAGTCTGCCTTCTGTACCGCCCAGTCACAAACCCCGCAAAGCCTATTCATGTTACAATTCAGAGCACACACAACGATCCGTAACAACAAATGGGCACTAATTGGCAACCACGTCGCATTATTTCTATTACTGTATCACCATGTAAAAGATGTGTTTGTGTACTTGAAAGTGTTTCTTCCATGTTTCTATGCACAGAAATGTACACTACGTAACAGACTAACATTTGACCAACTGACATTAAGACATGAACCAAATCATACCTAACTTTTCCAACTTATGTTGGACTTGAAGACAAATTACAAATTCAACTTACAAGTTCGACTTAAAGGCAGATTTGAGTGGAATCTGTTTGTAATCCAAGGACTCCCTGTTTAACCTATACATTTACCTTCTGACCCAGCAATCTGTCTCCGAGGAATTACCCTGAACATACACTTCAATCAAAACCAAAAACCAAACTCACTGCTGTTGAGTTGAATCCAACTCATAGCGACCCCTCCTTGGGTTTCCGAGGCGGTATCACTACAGAAGTAGATTGCCCAGCCTTCCTTCTGAGGAGCGGCTGGTGGGTTTGAACCGCCAGCCTTCTGGTTAGCAGTCAAGTTACTCTCAAGCCTGTTCACTGCAGCAGTTTGTAACAGTGAAATACTGGAAGCAACCAAACTGCTCAGACATGGGAGAGTGGCTGAATCAACCAGGGCACTTTCACACAACTGAGTACCTCTGCAGCCGAGAGAAGATGGCTGTGGTGAACTGTAAAGGAGCAACTGTGGAACACATATACCGTTAAGTGAAGAACTCAAAGTGCAAAAGAGCAGCCAGAGCGTGCTATCTTCACGTCAGGAAGAAGCAGACACAGTCGACATGTACCTGCTCTTTTGAAGGGGGCGGGGCACGAGGGATACACCAGAAATGAGTAAGACCGGTTCTCCACGGGGGGCTGGAGATGACGAGAAAAGGAGGAAGACCACCAGACAAGCCAGCTCTTAAAATCGTGTGCTCATCCTCATTATTACAGATTGCAGCAGTGTTTCTTCTATTTTTTGAGATTTTCTAAGTAGATAATAGGATCTCTTCTCTTTGCAATTAAAAACAACCCACTACGATTCCAGTTCATAGTGGCCCTATAACACAGAATAGAACCGCCCCATAGGGTCTCCAGGGCTGCAAATCTTTACAGAAGCAGACTGTCTTATCTTTCTCTCACAGGGTAGCTGGTGGATTTGAACGCAGACGTTATGGTTACCAGCCGAATGCTTTAGCCACTGTGCCACCAGAGTGCCTTCTCTCTTTATAATATGTATACCTATCCTTTCACTTTGTGTATGGCATCTAAAATCCATGCTTTTTCCATGAGGTGGAAATGAAGGTATAGCAAAAGAAAAATACCCAGGACACAGTAGGAGGTCAATGTTAGTCTCTTGAGTATCTTTAGTCTCACATATTGATCAAAAAAGAAAAACTAACCATAAAATGGGTAAGGAAATTGATATCCACTACTTTACTAAAATAACCACAAAATGGGTAAGGGTATCTACCAGTTATAATCTAAGTAATCTATCCTTAACTTCTTTCTTTTTTGGAAAATGGTATGCTGATAAGTGGGTTGGAATATTTTTTCTCCCCCTCTCAACTTGTCTTTAAATTTCTTTGGTTAAAATAAATAAATAAACAAAATAAAACAAAACACTGATTAACTTTGATTATGCTAGAATCAAAAACTTCAGCATAGCAATACAAAGTTAAAAGGCAAACCAGAAAACAACATTTGCAGCCAAAGGAATAACAGGATTAATATCCCTATTTTATAAAGAACCTCTAAAAACTGCAAAGAAAAAGAAAAATAATCCAAGACAAAAATGAGCAAAAGATGCAAACACACAATCCAGAGAAAACGAAACACAAAGGGCTGAAAAGATAAGAAAGGATGCGCCACCTCCTTGGTAACAGTGAAATGCACATTAATACAGCACCGAGACACGAGCACTCACACCAGTGATACACACAAATTATTTCCTGTCACATGGAAAAATACAGAAGGCGTCCTTATGCACTTTATATGGCTGCAGGCAAGCAGACCCTACCTTGGGAACAGCTATCAAAACCACAAATGCTTCTTTGACAGACATTCCAGGTCTGGTAATTTGCCGTAAAGATGTGCTAACAAATGAGGGATGCAACAGAGGTACAAGGTTATCCACAGTAGCACGATTTATAACAGAGCAGGACTGGAAGTGACCTAAAACAGACAACAGGCTAAGATGAATGATGATATTTCCAGATAGTTGAATATTATGCATATATTTTTAAAAAGTGAATAAAGATCCCATCCATGTTCAGTTTTAGAAAGATTTCCAAAACATGTTTTTAGGAGAAAAATGTAAGGGGTAGAGTACTAAGTGTATGCTAGCTTTCACACAGGAAACAGAAATTTATGCACAAATATTTGTATTTGTGAATGCACAAGATGACACTGGAAGGCATGCAGAAACTAATGCTAATGGTGACAGGCCGCATGGGGCCACGGAAGCTGGGCGTATGGGACAGAGGGACAGATTTTTCACAGACTGTCTTTGAAAACCAAAACCAAGCCGTCAATTTCATTCATAGCAACCCTTTCCTAGTATTTAAATTGTCAAACTAGGGACTGTAAAATTGCTGTTGTTTACTGCTATGGAGTTGATTAGTATTAGTATCATTCAAAAATTTAAATGGAAAAAAGCTGCTCTTTAGACACAACCCAAATGTCCTTCACTGGTACATGGATAAATATCCAAAAAATAGAATATTATTCAGCCATGAAAAGGAATGAAGTCCTAACACATCCCATAACACAAGCCTTGAAAACATGATGCTGAGTGAAAGGAATTTGCCACAGGGACATTGATTCCATTTATATGAAACGTTCAGAATAAGTAATCCATGGAGGCAGAAAGTACATTAATGGTTGCAAGGAACTGGGGGAGGGCAGATAGGGACAGACTTTATGAAGTGAAAAAATGGAACAAGATAGTGATGATGGTTGCATAACCTTGTGAATACACTAAAACCCACTGAATTGTACCCTTTAAAAAGGTGAATTTCATGGTATGTGAATCACACTTCATTGTGTCTAAAAAGCTCCTTCTGAAGAACAAAAGAACTTATTCAGAGTCTTACCTACTAGAGCAGAGAATAAAATACTAGAAAGTACATTTTCTGCCAAAGACAGGTTTGACGCTAGGACAGCTATTAATTTACGAAACATATGACCAGTAGAACAACCTAAAACATTAATGAAAATATATAGCTGTTTACAGTAGTGTTTAATGGAATAATAAAAAATAGTGAAATAGAAAGAAAAGTGAAACAATATGAACTGAACACTCAGATTTCATGCAAAAATCATTCTCTCTTTAAAAAAACCAAAAACCTTGTTAGAAATAACTGGAATCTTTCTTCCTGCAATTAACTGTGTCTTCCCTGAAACAAAACACAACAGCCCACAAAAAGCCTAGGAAATCCAGTAGGAAAGTGCTTGCTGAGTTACAGGATTAAATGATTCAAATATCCTTTTTGTAAGTTTGAATTTTAAGACAAGAACAATGTAAAATATAAACTCACTATTGGTTAGTGATCCCAGTATCCATTCAAACATAATTTTGTACATAAAAATTTTTACAGTGTCAAAGCAGGCTATTCTATTAACTTACATTACCCACCAAGGAAAGACGTTTCCATACTGAGATCTGGATATATAGGTTAACAAAGAGTTAAAGATCATTTCATCAATCAGGGTCCAATGGCATAAAGATAACTTTTTCAACTTAATAAATATATTACAATGGGAAAAAGTCAATTTTGTAACCCTGGTGCCTCTAGGAAAAGACAGACAAGGAAACTTGACTTCCCCAGCAAGATAAGAAACCTGATAAGGAAGTGAATATTTTGAAGAGCATGACCAGTAGGGCAAGCTGAAACAATAGCCCCGGAAAATATTACCAGCAATACACAATAAGTGAGTCCCTTAAAAGGGAATAAACAATTATGGGGTAAAGATTTTCATTCAGTCTGAGGG